ATTACAGATTTCTAGATCCAACCGATAATCGACAACCGTAAACTGTAACACAGGCTATTTTTCAAAATTCGTCGTCCATAGAATTTGAACTCTAGACCTGCCACTTGGAGAGGGTGACGACTAGACCACTATACTAAGTCACCACACCTCCACAATTAATATTATATTTATAAAGTGACTGTAATTTTAATTGTGATTTTGATTAAGATTGAGATTGAAATTGTTAAACTAGCCAATTTATTATAAATCTGGGTTTGTAATGGCAAATACAAACTCAACTTTAGCAATTTTTGCTCTTATTATAATATAGTAATTAGGCAGAGAAATTCTACTTGTTATAATAAATATCTATTATAGTATTATATAATAAATAATAATTATCCAGCAAACTCATATGATCATGAAAAAATTTCTTTTTGTTATTTTTTTCATGTATTAATATATAATTATGTTTATTCCATTATTCAAAATTAAAACTCAGCAAGCGAAATTATGATTATTATTGGGCAAATAGTCAAATATGGTAATTTGAGGTAAACCTGGTAAAACTAATGAAAATGTTGGAAAATGATTGGCTACACATGCTCATTTGCCAAATTACTGTTATTCAACAATTTTTGCCCAATAATGTATATATATAAAGTCTTATATATATTTATTTAGAATATACTTTTTAAAAAAAATTTATTTCTAATGATTAAAATTATTATCTTGAAAAATGTTTTGGATACACAAAGTGCCTTTTTTGTCAACTTCTAAAATTTATTGAGAATATAGTAAATATGTATTGTATAGTGTATAAAGTACATATATATAAAAATATTAAGTAATTATTAAAATAATATAATGTATGATTAACGAAACATATACATATGTATGATATATAGTAAATTATTATAAACACTGCCAATAAAAAAAATTACATTTCAGGGCGGACTTTAAGGTTATAATTTATTGGACTAAGCTTATTTAATTTGGGAATTTTTGTATAATAAATTGTAAGTTTAAGAATCTGAAGCATAATTTACTTTTGACAACCCCAAAACGTAGTTTTCTTTTTGTAATATCATATATATGATTAATCAATAATGCATAAAACATAGTTTGTATATATCTATATGTTAATAATTATTTAATTTTTTTTCTCTACAATTTTTTTTTTAAATAAAACTTTTTCAATAAAATCAAATTTGGATTTGAGTATTGAAGAAAATTATAATTTAAAAACTGGTATTATTGAAGAGTTTTCCGATTTGGATATTGATGAATACAGTGATGCATGATTTAATAAAGATTTGAATTTGAATACTGTAATGTTATTAATTTCATAATTTGAATACCAAATAAATATTGCCAAATATATGTTATCTTATAGTTTATTTATTTTAGAGCAATGCAAATAAAGACTTAGAAAAAAGTAGCATTTTTTACAAAAAAGCTATGCATAAATTGAATTTCGAATTATTCATAGTGTGTTACTTGTAGAATATCCTGTAATATCTGAAGATGGTGTTGTGATTATCTTTAATGTTAATGGCTAGAATAACTATATGGATGCATTTAACAATGTAAAACAAGTTTAAATATTTAATTTGTATAATACATAGATATATTTAGTAAAAATTTTTAATTTTATTGCATATTATCTAGATTCAATATTCAATTAATGGTCATGGTGGTGCTTCTATTATTCAGAATTGTCCATTTTTTGGAGACATTTCTGTTAAAAAAGATGAACGATAATGTCAAGGCATCAAATATTGTGAATTTAGTAATCCTGCCTATCTTAATGTTGTTCATAGTAGTATTGATGTTGATTCAGATTTTTATCGTAAGATGGCTATAGATTAGAAAGCAAATAACAAAAAAACAAAAACTTACATGTAATTTATTTTTATTTTAATTATTTGTTAAATTATATATTTAAATAAAATTAATTTAATTATTTATTAAGAATATATTTGCTGCAAGTAAATCTTAATGCAAGTTTCAACGTAATGGCATTCTTTGCTCTGGAACTGCAAAACATGGAAAAATTATTAACTACTTAACAAATACTACATCTTATTTTATTAGATACACAAAATATAAGCAAAATGATAAATAGCATCGATTTATTAAATTTAATATAAATGAAATTGATTTGTTTTTACTAAAAAAGTTGTTTGGAGGTGAATTAATTGAGGAAAAAGATCACTCAATTTGTACTTCAATTGTTTTATAAAGTTGTAAAAGAAAACAATGTGGTAAGTTTTTTTAATAATATTAATTAAAATTATAAATTATTGTTTATATAATAATCAAAAATTAGATTAATTTAAAATTAATCTATAGTGAATTTCACCATACAAATAATGATTTACAATATTACATAGCAATTATTATTAGCTTATTTGGCTCTGTTTATAAGTTTGGTTTTAGAATAGGTTTAATATACCTGCTTACAATATTTCTACAGTTACCCATACCAGTAATGCCTGATAGGAATCATGTGATCTAACATTTTGTTAATTTATTTAGAAATGATCTACCAACACAGCATCCGTATGATCTATCTAAATAATGACAAATTATTAATCATGTTGACTTTTTCTATGCGAATAAGAAAGATAAATCATGTTAATACTGTGCTAGTAGACCATCTCTTCATTTATTGTTTCGTTAGGGTTTTCAGATTACGTGCAGTTCAACAGGCGTATATTTGATTAAGATATAACTCGGTTCCAATTAATGAAATATTATGTAATTAAAATTCTAGTGAATTTCACCATGCCGCATGTAAATAATGATATAATTGATCTATAATATATAATGATAATAAGTAGTGATTTCGAACGTGATTACACTTTTACCAAATGTTTTGTGATATAGTAAAGGCAAGATTTGTATATGACTAATCAAATAGTTTTAATTAATAAAACACAAGAGCAAGTTACATATATATTCTAATGGCCTAACTTTTATTATAATCAATTCAACCTTATGGATAATATTGACTAGAACTCATTTCTAACGTTTCCTAATAATAACGACTTGGAAGATAATAATTTTCCATTTTCCTTACCTAGTTCTGGATTCTTTAATGATAATTCTGGCGATATGAATCTTATATCATCTTTTGGATATGAAAATAACAATCTAGTTAATACAAGTCTCTTTTCGGCATTTTCTGAATTCAACAATGATCGCTCACCATTTGTTATACACAGAAATAATGCCTCTTTTAATGACCATAACAGAGATTTAGTTGATAGTGATATAAGCTTTTCTGAGGATAACTGTAATGATAATTCCGATAACTTAAACATTTCCAGATATCAACATAACCTTTATGTAAATGCCTATTTTGACAATTGGCTATCTGTTGATAGCTTTATACATAATTATTGTTTAGAACGAGGTTTTGGGTATCAAATTTTCTGTAATTATAAAGATCCAAATGATCCTAGTATTACTTTACAGAAACTTGTAAAAAGTTGTATCTGTTTTTATAATAAAAAAATAATATTTTAAAAACATTATAAAAATATTTTTTAAAAAAAGTTGTTATAAAAATATTATAAAAACATTTTTATAACAACTCTTTTTCAAAAACATTTTTATAATATTTTTAAAGTATTATTTCTTTATTATAAAAACAGATACAACTTTTTGCAATTTTCTGTAAAGTACTCGCCGCAAATCTTATTACTGTTCTTCAAGTGGCACTTATGAAGCTTGAAAAGTAATTGATCAAAATTCACACCGTTTGCATGGTACTATAAAAACAAATTGCAAATAGTAGTGTAACTTTTCATTTTTCAAAACTGCTTATCAGATAAAATGTTTAATATTACATGATACACATAATTACCAACTTAGTCCTGTGCAGATATTTGATATTAGTGCTAGATATCGACGTTTTAGCAATGAAATAGTTTAGGATATTAAATTTTTTTCAGATTGCAAGGTTGCACCTCTTACTCAACTAGAAATGCTTAAAAAAAGTATTCACAGTATGTGTTTCATAAATATGATGTATATAATGCAATTTATAAATTGCGACAAAATGATGAGAGACCTGATTCTACTTCTTTGCTTGATAGTTTTTTTTGAAAAAATGTCTTTAAATTCACATTAGAAGGTATTTATCAGGCATTCTGGCAATGAACATCGTCTATCGGGTGTTTTTTGGATGTTATCTTTTCAACAGGAATTATATTAGCATTTTTCTGATGTAGTACTTAACGATAACATGTGCAAGACTAATAAATACAACATGTATCTGAGTGTTTTTATAGTAAAAGATAATTATAAAAGATTTAGAAATGTGGCAAATGCATTGATAGAGGATGAGCTTTCTTCAACATACGTGTGGATTTTGCAATGTTTTTAAAAGCAACAAATAATAGAATTCCAAAATCGTTCTGGACTGATTCCAAACCTGGCTTAATTAGTGCCATTTCTCAAGTTTTTCCAGATACATATCATTTTTATTGCTTATTTCATATCTGGCAAAATATAATTAAGCATCTCAGAGTATCTTTAGGTTCGAATTTCAATGAATTTAAAAAAGCTTTTTTTTCATGTCGAAATGTATTGAGTATAGAGGTTTTTAAACAGTGATGGGAATCTATAGTAAAGATATTTTCTGAATGTGAATATTATATGACCAAAAAATTGTATGCTAATCGAATTAGTTGGGCAAAAGCTTATGCACCACTTCAATTCAACGCTGGTATTCAGAGTACGCAAAGCGTCGAATCATTTAATGTTATTATTAAAAAGTCTCTGAATAATACTAGCACACTTTGCGAAGTTGAGGAGGCAATTAATAAAAGGTATGAGGCTAAAATTAAATATTGCAAGTTAATGGACATTAAGACATTGTATTCAGCAATTGGATTATTACATATTTTATCTCAGTTTTTTTTTCAAATGTTGATATGGTTCTTGTTAATTTTTTACCACCTTTCGTATTATCTTTACAATCTCTTAGTCTTTTACTTATGAAGGACGATTAGAGCATTCAATATCTGAAGTATGTTATTTGTTAAATTAAAGTAATATTGCATTGCATGTATAAGAGCTAAGCTATTATATATTCTATTTTAGGAATTGTATCTTGATATTATAAACAATAATTTTATAGAAGATGTAGTTGATGAACCACAAGCGACATTAAAGTCTATTTTAAGTAGTAATAATAAGTCTAAGATTATTAAAATATGGAAACTTCGTCATATAGGAGATCTTTCTCATAAAGACAATCTAGTAGTTCTTTTTAATGATGAATCTTACATTTGCACCTGCCTGGAAACAATCAAAAGGAATTATCTGTTACCATTTTTGGCATGTCATGCTTTTGCTACATTTCATATTAGTTTGATACCAATTCGATGGTATAATTGGTGAAATTGAATAAAGTTCTTGAAAATTCACCAGTTTTACAGCTTTAAAACCATCAAATGATAATACAATTCAAACGAATTTTACTCTTGAAAGTGTACGAAATTTCCAAGGTACTAGCTATCAAACAAATATTTGTAATGTTGTTCCTCAAAGAAATAGATTTGGGATAGCCTTTTCAATAGCTAAAATAGCAATTAATATTGCATTATAAACAAAGAGTGACAATGAATTAATTCAATTATTAAAGACCTTTATTTTAGCTAAACAAAATAGCCACAGTAAGAATAATTCAAAAGATGTAGAAAGCACTGAAAATAGTTAGAATGATGGTATTAATACTCTGCAGCAAAATTTGATCAATGAAACAAATGACTCGCATGTTACTAAAATTAGAGGTGCTCCTAATAAGAAAAGAATTAAAAGTGCTATAGAAGTATCAAAGAAGAAAAATATAATGCACGAAAATACAAATAACATTATGCAAGAAAGTTATAATTAAGAATCAAGCTCAAGACCACAATGCAAATGTTTGCTATGTGGAAAACCTGGCCACTATTAAAAAAAATGTTCAAATGCTAAAGAACAGTAATTTTTTGCTCATATCAATAAATCTTGAATAGTAGATTCTGCCATTAATTTTTATAGCTTGTCGGAACTCATTTTATTACTTTTTTCTGATGTTTAATGAGTATTATATATATTATAATAATGGGTTATTCATATATATAAGTGAACAATGCATTCTATAGAACTATATAAAGCTATATAGCTTATACGTATTATTAATATAAATATCAGGACTTATTTTATTTAGATTTAGTACTTTTTTTGATGTTAACATGAGTATTATACGTATTATAATAATGGGTCATTCATATATATAAGCGACAATGCATTCTATAGGACTATATATAAATAACTCTGCTGATCAGTGCTAATTGAAGCTATTGACTGCTTAAAATATTGCGTAAATTGTTGAGTATTGCTTTATATACATACATACATATATACGTATGTATGTACGTACAATACATTCTAAATAGGCTAGGATGAGAGTAGTGTATAAATATATACAGATAAGTATGTGTATATACATATATAACGATACAAAATGTATAATTCGAAAGAGGATCAAGCAGGACTAAATAGGTTCTTTACCATTTCTAAATGTCTTTCGTATTAGTATTAGTTATATGTTTGATATGCATAATTAGAATTACTATATAAGCATAAAATAATACGCAGAGGCGTTATTTGAATAATGGCCTGAATTAGGCTTAATTTAGGCCAAAATTTGAAATCACACTCCTGCATGTTATTTTGCACTTATATGGTGTGTATAAATTAATTATATATGTATTAGTAGTTGTGTGATTTACTATATATATGTACTAATTTTTTTAAAAAGAATAAATAAGTTAGTATAGCTAATAAATAGATTTATATATAGTACCAGATTAAGATAATATCATAAAATCTGGTAAAATTCACCATTGGTGAATATTAAGATTACTCTATATAATAATTAAAAATTATATATAATAATTTGTAGAATTTCCTTATATTAAGGATAAGATGAGTTACTAGAGAAAATATAATTGAAAAATCATGCTCAGTGTGATTTATTAAAATAATTCCTTTAGATATTTCAATTTGTCCTTTTGTTATACTTATATGTATTGGTGTTTATAACTATTCTTCACCACTACTAGAAAAAATACCAACAAATATTAAAAATACATTGCAAACTTTAATCAAACAAGCTATTAATAATAATAAAGCTTTAATATCACATTCATTTATTACAGATAATATTTATTTTAATTATATTAAAATTTTTTATTTTTTTTTTATTCTTTGACAGTCTTGTCAGTGCTCAAATACAAATTATATTACTATTAGACTACAAAACAAAGTTT